TTGGGTATGTAACCTAGGTGCGTGGGCATCATTGGTAATTGTGCGGTAAGCGACGCATTGGTATTGTATTAACCAAGGGGGAGTCCGAATTGCCCGTGGCCAGTGTTAGTGGTTGGGTAGGAACGGCATTCCGCGGGGAGTTGCCTAGAACTAACTAAAATTGACTATTATTCATGAGAACTGAAATTTAATTATAATCTCTGCTTGATTATTACTTTCGTTGTATGTTATGACCAAACCTTCAGTTTATTTCAATAAAGCCCTTGAATTTTTGCTTAATTGCATTTTAAACCCTAGAATCGGGAAGCATCGCGGATTAATTCGAGTAAACCCTAATCGATTCCGTAAATTAATAATCACCTTTAAAACCATATTATTAATTATTAGACCCTATAATTATAGATTCATCACTTTAAAATCTTAATTCCCGGTAACGTCGTTTTTGCTCGGTTTCTCGCCTTTGTTTGCGCTTTAATTTAACAGGATCCAAATTTATTATTTTAACTATTTTCTAAGGCTAGTATATTGTATGCTAAATATAAAGGTTTCATAAATTTAGACTTGGTCCCTATATACTTTTATTTTATTTCATTCCAACCCTACACATCTATTCTTCGAGTTTCGCAAACAGAGACCGCCGATCTTCACTGGCGAACCTGATCCAAAAATTGCTGAAAACTGGATCCGATAAATTGAAAAGATGTTCAACACAATGGGAATAACTGAACACATTGATAGGATTGATCTAGCAATTTACCAACTTGAAGGGGAAGCAGATCATTGGTGGGCTCTAATTCGGGAATCTAGGGACATCGCCGCAATGACGTGGGCGCAGTTTAAGGAGTTATTTTTGAGGAAGTACTTTCCAAACACAGTCAAACAAGAAAGAATTCATGAATTTCTGAACCTAGAACAAGGCGCAATGACAGTGACCCAATACGTGGCAAAGTTCGAGGAGTTGGCGCGTTATGCGACTCGATACATAGAAAACGATGAAGACAAAGCACGAAAATTTGAATGGGGTCTAGTCCCTACAATTCGAGGAAGAGTTTTACCCATGCGACTTCCCACTTTTGCAGATGTAGTTGACACAACACTTGATTCAGAACGGGAGGTGGCAGATTCCAAGAGGATTTGGAGTTTGATGAAAGAAAACAATCATTCCAATGTGGGACCCGAAAGAAATAGTCGAAGGCATGTAGCACAGAAGCCGTATTCAAGGGAACCCCAACAACCCCAACAATCGCAACAACAAAATCTGAAGGAGAGTTTTCAAACAAGGCCAGCTGGGTTGATCCAGTGCTATCATTGTCAACAGATGGGACACAGGAGGTTTGAATGCCCCCAATTGGCCGGAAAGAATGCCCCCAACTGGCCGAAAATCGAGGAGAGCGCTCGAGAGCAAATACGCAGGTTATTGGCGGGCAGCAACCATGGGTAACTAAATCGGGAGTTGTTAGGCAACAAAATTACAAGGCGGAGAACAATAAGAAATCTGGGCCGGTTAACAATCAAAGGCCAACAGGCAGAATATTTGCACTGCAAGGAGAAGAAAATGAACATCTCACTAAGTAGTATCTTGAGGAAGAGCAGTGCACCACATATGAACCCAAGGGACCGCAGTACGAGCCATGGCTAACTTAGGAAAAATATAACTAGGATATTAGTTATAACTCTTTTGGCTGACCTTTTGTAAAATATATATATAGATATATATAGACGATGTAAATTTCCTTTTGTTAATATAGTTTTAGAACTCTTGAGTACATGCTTTATTCATCGTATTCTTTCGTATCTGCTATGGGGATGCAAACCTTTAAGAATTGTTTATGCTTTTGATTTTCAATCTCCAAGGCATGAATAGCTCCAACTCTAAAATCATCTTGGAAGCACAATGAGGCAATGCGGGTAAATTATCCACAACTTTTCGACGGCTTAAAATTCGAGGACGAAATTTGTTTAAGGGGGATAGGTTGTAGAGACCCTAATTTTTGTAATTACCATTAAATCCCTAACCTTGAGTTTATTTCAATAAAGCCCTTGAATTTTTGCTTAATTGCATTTTAAACCCTAGAATCGGGAAGTATCGCGGATTAATTCGAGTAAACCCTAATCGATTCCGTAAATTAATAATCACCTTTAAAACCATATTATTAGTTATTAGACCCTATCATTAGATATTAATCACTCTAAAATTTTAATTCCCGGTAATGCCGTTTTTGCTCGGTTTCTCGCATTTGTTTGCGCTTTAATTTAACGGGACCCGAATTTATTATTTTAACTATTTTCTAATGTTAGTATATTAATAACATATATCAAGGTTTCATAAATTTAGACTTGGTCCCTATATACTTTTATTTTATTTCATTCCAACCCTTAATTGTAATATTTTATTAATTAATGTACTTGTATTATATTATGTTTATAAATGCAAATATCTCATAAAAATATCATATATATATATATATGTGTGTGTGTGTGTGTCTTGGAGCCCAAGTTGTTGACCATGTGATGGATAAAAAGGGCCATAATTGCAACTTTGACAATTTGCACTTAGGGAACTTAGTCCCCAAGAAACCTTCCCAATCTTTTCTCTCTCTCTCTCTCTATATATATATATGCACACTTCTCCCCCCTCATTATATACATTTTCAGCCATCCACTAGAGGAGTGAGAGAGAGTGATCTTGGAAAAAAAAAAAAAGAGAGAGGGAGAGAGTGAGAGAGAAGAAGAGGAAAAGAAAAGGAAGAATTGTGTTAGTCTTGTACAACAAAGGTAAACATACAACACCTCTTCTCTCAAGTTCTCTTACCACTTGTTTTTCCCGTCCTAATACATGCTCTTTGTATATATATGTTGTAGTCTAGGCCTACACTCTTGTATAAGTGTGTATTAATCAAGAAATGGTATGCTTCACTTTCTTTCTTAAATTTCCAGCAGCAAATCTTTTCCCTCTCTTGAATTTATTTTCCCACCAAAACTCCATAAACTCAAAATCTGTTTTTATGGTACAATATTTGGTATGTCTAGAGTATGTGGTAATTTTTGTAGGTCCTAAGGATTCGTTTTTATAACCTAAATAAATTTTCTAAGTTTGTTACTCACAGAACCAGAAAAACAGTCAATTTATCTATTTTTAGAAAATTCCAGAAAAATAATCTTGAGCCCAATTTTATGTCAAAATCTTAATCTTGGTGTTATATTTTAACTAAAATTTGTTTGAGCTCAAGAGAGCGATGGGTTTGAGAGAAAAACCGATTTGCGTAACGGTCAACGAATCTGGACAGATCTTGGTATTTCTGAATTATCTTGAAATCTAAAATACCTATCGTACTTTCGTAAATTGAGTTTGAAACTAGACTTATTTATCTACCAACTCACATGAGGCCAGGTACTTAGGGCCAATAAAAGTATTTTTTCAAAATTATTTTGGAACTGGTTCAAAATCTGGAAATCTGGAAATTTGTGTTAATATGCTCTTATTTGGTTTGCAACTCTTATATTCTATGTTTCTTGAATGTCTTAGTCTTGATATGTAATCTGTGATAAATTGTAAATTTTTTTTACCATGAATAAATTACTTCTTGTTTAGTTTGGATTCATAATTATACTGACCATGCTTTGCTATAACTGAGAACATAACGCACTTAATAAAGGGGAAATCAAATGGGATGGTAATGGGTTGCGATCATTGCATTAAATTTTATGAGATAATGAACGATTGATTCAAGAGTATGATATAATGGAATGTATTCCATTTTTGTGAAGTCTTGCGCAAGTGTGTTTCCGAACCCTAACATGGCACGGGAGGTATTCTGGCTGCTTAACGGAAATGGGAGGCATAAGGGTGGCAGTGAGGGTCTCACACAGGGAGAGTATCCCTGGAAGCCCGTTTCCTTGGGGCAGACCGTGATGTCACCACTTGGGTGTGTAACCTAGATGCGTGGGCATCATTGGTAATTGTGCGATAAGTGACGCACTGGGGGTCATGCGGTAAGCGACGCATTGGTATTGTATTAACCAAGGGGGAGTCCGAATTGCCCGTGGCCAGTGTTAATGGTTGGGTAGGAACGGCATTCCGCGGGGAGTTGCCTAGAACTAACTAAAATTGACTATTATTCATGAGAATTGAAATTTAATTATAAGCTCTGCTTAATTATTGCTTTCATTGTATGTTATGATCATGCCGTTATGTTCTTGTGTATTTGGAATGGGAAAGGGGTCGGGGTGTGTGTGTTTACTGGGCATTCCAAGCTCATGGTGTTTTATGCCAGGTAAAGGCGAGTTTTACACCAAGAACAGAATCCCTAAAAGCTCTGTGGAACCGTGGCTGTCTTAGAAATTAGATTGCATATTTCCTGTATTTTGGATAATCTTTTTGTATCAAGGAACCGATATGTATCTAAAGACTTGAAGAATTTTATCTGTAACTATTATTAATATTTTATTTTAGTGTAATTATTTGTATTTTGTGCTTAAAAATGATGTGTATCCTCTAGCTAAACCCCGGTGCATCGTTGTATTATATTATCAAAATTTGGGGCGTTACATGCTTGGCGCTGATAGCAGGCCCCAAAGTTCATTTAACTTGGCACTGATAGTAGGCCCCAAGGCGTTCTGGTTGGAGCTGATGATAGCAGGCCCAGAGATACCAGCTTACCACGGCGATCCTGTGAAGATGGGAGCAAGGTAGCTTGAACATAAAGGACTCCCTTTCCATTACCTAGGTCATGGACCTGTCTTAGTCGCACTGGCAAGACTAAGAAAGCCCCCTTGGGCTTGGTACTAAGGCATAGCATAGCTGATAGCAGGCTTTGCTGTGGCCTTCACCCTGGGAAGCTGGGGAGTTTGTGGTTAGGTGGCTAAGGATGGAGGCTTCGCTGCGGTGAGCTGGAACATAGTCGATAGCAGACTAATAAAGTCTTGAGAATGCGTGTACTGGCCAAGTAGAATTGAAAAGGAAAGTGCAGCTGCAAGGTTTACCGCTGCAAGTGCACTTGCTGAGGTTCGAGCTGAGAAGGCAAGTGTAGCGGCAACCACTCCCGTCGCAATTGCACTTGCTGACGCTCAAAAGGGAGTTACAGCGCCAAACATTCCCGTTGCAACTAAACTTGCTGAGGCTGAAAAAGGTAGTTGTGGAGGCAAACAGATAGTACGCAGTACATGTAGAGGAACACGTGGCACCTTCAGCCTGGTGGCTCAAGGTAAAATATTTTGGGTGATCCTTAAAGACACCTGTCTTCTCTCTATTTGGCCACTTGGTGTCCTCTTTGTACCAAGGGAAAGCCTATAAATAGGACCTATTTCCTAAGGTTCAAGAGGAGGAATTTTGGGGATTTGGGGAAGATGCTGCCCATTTCAGTACTGTCATTGTCCTCTTCTTGAGCTACCTACTTCACCCTCACCCAGCTACACACTCTCCAACTCTCAGATAGTTGCTACTGCTCATCCTCTAGCCATTCCACCACCATTGGACCATTAACATAGTTTTGCCTCTCAAATCACTCCTCTAACCTTAAACCCCCTTACAAAGGTTTATTTAGTTTGGTTATAGCTAGATGAATATATGCTTTAGAAATGATCCATGCATATTGTTGCTGAGCATGATTGCTACGATTCTATATGCATACGATGTACATTACTTGTGTTTAACTTGTTGGACTAATGTCATATTCAGATAAGGAGTATAAAATCATCTTATTTAAGGTGGTTCAGCCATGTCATAGAGTACCATAGTATGTAACACAAGTCATGGAGTATTGTTCTATTGTGTTGCATGTCCGTGATGTGGCATTACATTCATTATGTTTTAAAATATATTTACTTTTGTTTTGTTGGTTAGTAGCAGTTGTCTAGTAATTACAAATTTTGATTGTATGTGTTAGGATATTAGTAGGTTTACTAAGTAGGTATCTAATTTATTTTATTTAAATAGGTTGTATTCAGTCAATATATTCAAAGGGAGGCCGGAATATTTTGTATTGACTTCTTGGTGAAGTTATGGAGGTTTAGTTTAGTTTTTTTTAATTGAAATAACAAGAAGTCTTTCCCCTCAAAGTGGGTCTGTTATCGACTTCTTCAGTTTTTTCTTCTTTATTTAATATATTTATAAAAGGATTTATATCATGTGTTTCCTTTTCACTCTAGTTTAGTTAATATTCTAATGATTATATATATATATATATATATATATCTTGTAAGACATCAACCTATGTGTATAATCTATTGTGTTATTCCAACAATTATTGATATAAGCAAGGTGTTATATTTTTGTCATACTGCATTACATATACAGATTGTGCACAGTGCACAATTCATGATCTTACGAATGTCACTGAACCTGCTAGCTGTGTTTGCACTCAGTGGGCTAGCTAATGAGCTATGTGATGCTTTATGATTATCTATTCTATTATATAAAGCATAAACCACATTTTGTGTGCT